TCTCTCTCTCTCTCTCTCTCTCTCTCTCTCTCTCTCTCTCTTTCTCTCCCCCTCACCGTTAAATCATCAGTGACCTACCACGGTTAGTCGAAACTGATGGTAGGGTGTTTGTGTTGCTGCCTTGTCTTTTGAGCCGAAGAACGATAAACATGAATACCGCGAAACTATTTCAAGTATTGATACATGCAGAGCTCCATCCGGGGCCTCTGACAACTCTTGTTGGGTGGCTTCCGTTTCTTCTCAGGGAGGAGAGGGTGCGGAAGGGATGGAAGTCGAAGGCGCAGTCGGCGGCGACGCTATTGTCCTGCACGAAGACAAAAAGTGAGTGCCTTTGCGTTTTTAGGTGCATGAAGGTCTACCTGAGTTCCAACCGAGCTTTACTACGAGCCGCTCTGCTGTGCATGAAAATGACAAGCGTGGGAGGCGCACAAGAAGTAGGTTGGCTGAATCCATGCCATGCTGATTGCCGAATCCATGTCATGCATTGTCAATAGGTCGCTCTTCCCAATATGGCAAGGCACTAGAGGCTCGTTGTTGGAAGGCTTGCGAGACCGGCTGAGTGTGCACAACGCCTTTCAATACTCGCTCTCTTTCCGGAGACAAAAAATGGGCATCCTGTCACATGCGCGCATATGCTTGTTTCAATACTGGCTTCTCTTCGACAACTGCTGCAGCCTGCGCTTCCAACTAATCACCCCGAGGCCGAGTTGATCTCATATAATACAAGGGCCCGGCCAACATTCGCAACAACTTTTTTTTATTCTTGGCAGTAACCTGTTTGTTCCCGGTGCCTTCTTTGTAATAGTAGGCCAAAAAGGAAGCTCTTTCTTTTGTCTGAAGAGACCACTTCGAAAGCATCGCACGCGCACAACGTAGCAGCAGTAAGCGCTCTTTCGTGATGTTTCAATCTTGGGTGGCGTATCAAGCACATGTTTTCCTCGTGCGCACCTCTTGGCTTGAAGGTATTACCCCGACGCTGAGGATGTGTACAAGGGTGCGGCCACCGTCACAGCGGACGAGGACGCTCAGGGGCTCGAGGAGCCCATCATCGCGCCCGTCAAGACAAAGACTTTCTCCAAATTGGAGAAGGAGGTACGCGGTGTGTTGTTCTTGCTACCGTCAGTGTTTTTACGAGCGTGTTGTTGCTGCTGTTGTTTGTACGAGCGCGTTGAGTGAAGACGCGAGGTGAGCCCAAGAGGCCCTTTGGACACGTTTCAAGGTGTACAAGCAAAGAAACGAGGTCTGGAAAACTGCTCGAATTGTGCTCGAGTGGCGGATGATAGGAACGGTGCTTGTGTGGCATGACAGGCGTGTAGGAAGTGCAAGGGACAGGCGTGACCACCCAAAAAGACGGAAAATAACTCAGGCCAAGCAGAGGACCAGAACAAAGCAAATCGAAATGATCCATCGAAAGGGCCGAGTGATACTACCGCCATTCAGGCGCAACGGACGCGTGACCCACTCACGATTGGCTCCTTCACATATTGTATTCTTGTCCCGTTTTTTTTGTTGTCCGGCATCGCCCTGCCCGCCGATCTCCTCACGCTTCTGCCGTCGAAAAATAATGACGCTTGCCGTTGTTTTTGACAGCTGCCGGACACGAAGTGTTCCCCAGAGTTTATGGCCTCTCTCATGGAAACACCCACCCTGGTACGTCACGCGGCGGTGGTAGGGCACCTCGGGCACGGGAAGACCCTGCTCATGGATGTCTTAGTTGGACAAAGCAGGTGTGCACGTGTGGCTGTTGTTGTTGTTATTGTCGTTGTTGTTGTCTTCACATCAAAAACCGTGGTTGGTGGAAAGATTATCGTTAGCGGTTGCTTTCCAATTGTATCGGAGATACGTACTGCTGCAGTGCCCTCTTCGGGCTAGTTGGCCTGTGCGTACCTTCAGGCTAGTTGGCCTGTGCGTACCTTCAGGCTAGTTGGCCTGTGCATACGGAAGGCGTCTGCGTCTGTTGGTGCCGTACGGATGTTAAAAGGCGCTAAGAAAAAGGTATGATAATGAAGACAAACCAACATTGTGTCGCAACCAGCGGGGCAGGTTCTTTGGTTCGGGTGATGCATGATGCAACGCGGGAAGCTCACGTCTTCTGAGGTATCATTTACCATGAAGTATTCGCCATAGTGTCCTTCCATTAAGGAGGCGTGTTTTGAGGAATGCAGCAGGCACAGCAGGAGTCGATACACTTGCTGGAGGCTGCTCCGAAATGCGCGTGCATAAGTCTAATCCTTGGCGTTTCTACCTTGCGTCTTTTGTTCATTGTCCCTGTTTCGACTGCAACCCGCGCGCATAACAGGGTGAAACCGTTCGACCCCTCGAAGGAGGTGCGGTACACGGACACCCGCGTGGACGAGCAGCAGCGGGGGCTGTCGGTCAAGTCGTGTCCGGTGTCCATGGTCCTGGAGAGTACCACCGGGAAATCGTACCTCCTAAACCTCATCGACTGCCCCGGGCACGTCAACTTCGTCGACGAGAGCGTTGCCGCCATGAGGTACGTGCTGGCTTGGGGCACGGGGTGGGTAGGTGGCCGTGGTACAGATGAAGTAGGAGTGGTGACGCTAGGATGATGAAGAAAATGGTCACGGGCGCTACAGTGAGCTTGTATGGACAGTTGTTATTGTGGTAGTGGCTGTGACAGGGTAAGTACGTGCAAGGAGTGTGCGCGTTTTGTGACGTACTTGGGGCAATCTGAGTGTGGGCACACTCATTGTTCTAGCGTTCTGTTTCGTTTGTTCCGTCTCTGGGCAACGTGTCAGTGCCCGAGGTTTATCGACGCATGCGCTGTTCTGTCAACGCTGTTCTGTCAACGCTGTTCTGTCAACGCTGTTCGCTCGCTCGCCGCAATGTTCTGTTAATTTTCTCCGGGGGGGCGGGGCAGAGCTTGCGACGGCATCGTGCTGGTGGTCGACGCTGTGGAGGGGGTGATGATGCACACGGAGACTTTGGTCAAGCACGCCCTGCACGAGGGTCTCGCCATCACCCTCTGCATCAACAAGGTTAGAGGCGGGTAGGGGTAGCGGGGGTATATGTAAGAGGTGGTGTGTTTGTCGTGATCGGGTTGTCACCCAACCAATTTTGTATCAGCAAGATGCGAGGAGTTTAATTATAATAATAGATGCTGCCGGCACCGTGACGCGCCGGGAGTATTGTTGCGCGGGAGAAGCAAGTGCAGCAAGCCGTCAACGGCGGCTTGTCCACCCGTTGAACCGTCCGGATACTGCTTGTATCTGGCCGGACGATATGTTCCTTGGCGTCGAGTTGCTTCTGTTTCCCTGTCCGCTTGTCGATGACTTTTGTACCCTGTGTTATCTCCTTATCCTGTGGCTAATAGAGTTGTGAATCGGTACGAAAAAACGATATATTTTACATCGGCTGCGCAGCAGCCGATATAACGATATTTTCTCCGATATATCGCCGTAGGCGATATATCGGAGA